ATCCCATCGCAGGGTGAGTGTCCCTGACCACTTAGGCTGAAGTGAGAAGTTGAGTTATCATTAAAAGGGAAAAGCTATGGTACTTACCTGAAGTGGGAAGTTGAGAAGAAGGCTGCTTCTTCTGTTCCCACCCCAGGCGCTATTATATACATGCGGTCAGGGTCACGTGGAGGAGGCCACGTCATCTCCGTGCACAGCCACACCTCCCCGGGTGTCTCCGCGGGAGATCCTGGAGGCAGCCGTTCAGTAGGCAGGAGTGTGCGTGGCGTGTGCAGCGATCAGGGAAATGGGGTTAGGTATGTAGTGGTACATGGAGAAAAGGGAAATCGACCATAGAATAGAAATAGAGAGAAAAGGGGAAAAGTGAGGAAGGAGGGACGGGGCTGATAGTGGGGGTCATGGAGTAGAACAGTACGGCACGGGGCGTGGCGCGGGGTCAGGCGGGTGTGCCCTGACACTATCTTATCTCGGTTGAACAGTTCCCTGTTGCATTGGATGCCTCCCACCAAGGTTACTTGCCCATAGGGTGTCAAAGTACTTGACAGCCTGCCGCCTCTAGCAGTGGTCCCAGCCTGGGGTTTGCTATTGGTTGCCTACTGCCTTCCTTCCTCCCCTCAACCTGGGTCTGTGCTCTTGTTGGAGCACCACTCTGCAGTCCGGACAGGGTCACCTACCCACAGGGTAGCGAGAATTGTGGTATCCCATCCCAGTCGTGTTAGTCCCTGTCTGGGTTACTGTCAGGGCACATACCCTGACTTAGCCCGGACCCGGACCCACATCCGGACCCGCTCCACTTCCCGCGCACTTCCTGCACCGCACGCTCTGCACGCCGCATGATCCGACCCCGGATCCCACCTCATGTGACTTCTGGGTATCCCCGGAAGTTTTCGCCATATTGGGGCCACTGTGGGAAAGTGAGAAGTTAACCTTCTTCTCACTTTCTTACCCACAGTAGGCAAGTTGTATCTTACTTGCCTTCCTATCTATTACACTTTCTTACCCACAGTAGCTATGCCCTGAGATGGGCTGTGTTTACAGGCCAGACTGTGGACTGTAGAGAGGGGTCATGGGGACCCAGGGTCCCAATATCACATCTCCTCCCCTTAACCTGGGAGGCCCCATCATGGTGGACTTGGCAGTGGGATTCTGCCCATGTGCAAGTGAGCTCAGGCTCATATTCAAGTTCCTCGATTTCTGGAAATCAGTTTCTCTTCATTTTGGAGAGAGGTAATCTTTCGCACTTCTATGCGAATCTTGTACTCCTGCCTCTGGGTGGCGCGGTTCTCATAGGCATTTCTTGGCACCTCTGAGTAATCAGGTCGTCTCTATTTGGATGGCCTGAGTGAGGAGCTTGTCTCGCTCTCTCGTTTCCCTTTCATGAGGGATTCTGTCTCATCCAACTCCTTTCGGAGTTGGCTTGTGTTGTCCACTATCACTGGGGGTGATAGCTTGCTCTCAGCTTGGGTTGGGCCGAGAATTTGTTGGCTTTGGCCATCTCGAAAAGCATGTGGATACTTCCCTGTAGGGTGGCTTGCCCATAGGGTGTCATGGTACTTGGCAGCCTGCTGCCTCTGGTAGTGGTCCCCTTTTGGGGGTCTGTCATTGGCTGCCTACCATCTTCCCATCTCCCCTCGACATGGGTTTGCCCTCCTGAGGGCGGGTCCTTATGCAACCCGGACAGGGTCGCCTGCCCACGGGGTGGTGGGATAGTCGGTGCCCTGCCCCTTGGTGCGCTAGTCCCCATATGGGGTCATGCCTCATGAGGCCCGGAACCGTATCCCCTCCCCCTGACCTGGGACACCCCCATCATAATGGGTTTGGCAGCGAGGTCTGCCAGTGCACATGCCTCTTCAAGCTCGCGTTTTAACAACTCGATCTCCCTCTTCTGGAGGTCGACTTCTCTCTCTGTGTCTTTCAGAGAGGCAAAGATGCCGAAGCATCTCTGCATGCCCTATTGTATTCATGCCTCCAATGGGCGCAATTATTGCAGGCATCATCTGACACCCTTGAGTTGTCAGACCATGCTCGTTTGGACGGCCTGGACAAGGAGCCGCTGTCGCTCCCTCATCTCCCTCCTACGAGGGACTTTATCTCTTTCAACTCCTGACGAAGTTGACCTGTTTGGGCAGCTGCTGCTGATGCAATGGCTGATTCCCAGCCTATATTTGGCTGGGTTGTCGGATCTGGGCCAAATTGGCCGATCCAGGGAGTGATTTGGCCAGGGAAGTTCCCTGGGGAGTATGCCTGGGGCTGCAGCAGCAATTGCTGCCCCTGGAATGGCACTTGTTGTGCCATTGGTGCAGTTTGTACTGCATATGGTTTTACACGTGAGCCTGGGGTTCACGTGGTCTAGGCGAGTTACTCGCCTAGCCCATGTGATGTCTAGCCCATGGTGTGGCTGTCCAGGCAAGTTGCTCACCCAGAATCTTCCCACGTTTTTGGCTGTCGGTGATTGCCCTTCAGCTTCACTTTTTCCGCCTCCGTTTTTGGGGGCGTAGTGATGCCGAAAGTTCCGTATCTTCTTAGATCAGGAGATTTTCCGGTTCCCTCACATTTTGTAATGTGAGGTACTCATCCAGGCAGATGAGGTCGTTACGATTTCCTAGGGGTTCCCATGTGGTGTCCCCTAGCTCCCGTTTGGCCTTAAACCAGAGTTCATCATGAACCCATGCATGGTTTAAGATTTCGCAAACTACTGCTTCGCAATCGGGGTCTTCCCCGAAGTCATAAAATATGTTTACTTCCCTATTTGGGAAGATTTCTTGGTCATTCGGCTCATGGGGTGTGAGCCAAGATACGTGGAATCTTGGGTGGACTCCACATTGTTCAAGTTGTGGTGGCACCTTGAGGACGTAGTTTGACGTCTCTGGAAATGTTTCCAGAATTTCATAAGGCCCTATATACAGGGGCTTTAGTTTGCCTGCCCTCCCTTTGGGTAGGTTCAACTTATCCGTGGATAAGTATGCAAGCTTGCCTTTTCTCAAAGGCAGGTCCAGGCATCTTTTCTTATTCGCCTGGATTGTTTGAGCAGCGTGATTGTGTATTATCGTGTCGTGTGCTACCATGAGGTTTTCCTTCACTTTTTGGGTGAAGTCATTTACTCCCAGGTAGCCTGAGAGTGGTGCTGTTAGGCACACCTTTGGCATATGGCCATAGATTAATTCGAACAGGGCAAATCCTGTTGATGTGTTCGAGCTTGCATTGATCACGAATTCCACCATCGACAGTTTCGCTGCCCAGTCACGTTGATCTGGTCTAACCATCGCATGTAGTATTTGTACTACTTTTTGTATCATTCTTTCCGCTTGGCTGTCGCCTTGCAGGTGGAATGCAGTTGTGAATTTCAACTGCACACCGAGTACTCGGTGTAGTTCGTGCCAAAATTTTGATGTGAATTTCAAGTCTCGATCTGATATGATCGAGTGTGGTAGACCGTGGAGTCTTACAACTTCACGAAGAAATACGAATGCTAGTTCTAGTGCGTTCGTTGTTGTCTTTACTGGAATTAGGTGGACGTTGGACGTCAACCTACAAATGATTACCCAGAGGTGATCATATCCCAAGCTTGTTGGGAATGGACCTGTGAAGTCCATAGCTATTGACGACCATGGTGTCTCCGGGGTCGCGAGTGGGCGAAGCATTCCGGGATTTCTCCTGGTGCTTTTCTTTGTTGTTTGACAAGTTCCGCAAGACCTGCAGAACTTGTGGGTATCCTTCCTCATCGACTTCCACCAGAAGTGTCGATGGAGGGTTTCCACTGTTTTCTTAGATCCTAGGTGTCCAAGTGTTTCGTGGATGTTTTCAAGGATTATTCCTCGAATGGACTTCCTTTCGTAGTTCCCTTTCGGGACTACTATTTGGGTCGTTCCTCCTTCTCCAAGTCAGGTTATCAGCCCATCTTTTACGGAGAAGTTTTTGAAGTTCCCCGGGTTCTCTAGGATTTCCTGGTGGATCTGGCTTTTCGAATATCCAGATTTTATTGCCTCAATGAGGTCTTTCTCTTCAAATTGTTTTCAAAGGCTCTCTTCTGGAATTATGATTTCTTCCAGATTTTGGGCGCTCCCCCCTAGAGTTTCCTCTAGGTTATCGCTCCCCCCTAGAGCTTTCTCTAGGGTATTTCTTGCGCGTATCGCTGCGAGTCTCTTTCTCTCTGAGTTTTTACTCAGGGTACTGCTTAGTAGCAGTTCTTCATATTCCTCGATTCTGTCAGGGATAATATCTTCTGCATTTTTGTCCAGATGGATGTCTGCCGACACATAGTCATCGAAATGCAGATCCTTGTCCGTTGACGAGTCGTAGTACCGTGAGAGTGCATCTGCCACTTTGTTCTTGTGGCCTTCCACGTATTTTATTTTGCAATTGAAGCTTGCAAAGAAGGCTTGCCATCTCAGGTGTCTACCTGAGTTGTGGTTTTTCACTTTGAAATATTCCAAAGCTTTGTGGTCCGTGATTACTGTGAATTCACAGCCTCCCATGAGATCGTCTTGCCATCTCATGAGTGCTTCGAGGACACCCAGTGCCTCGAGCTCGTAGGCAAAGTACCTACGTTGTGTGTTGGGAGTATCACATAGGTTGGGCCAAGTTATTCAGCTTTATCCCTGTTTGCGAGTTCAAGGAGTTTGGTTCCTTGAGCAATTGCCTTCCAGATGGTATTTATCTGGGAGTTCCAGTTCCTCTGAGCTAGGACTGGGTTGTTTCTTTCTTTCATATTTCTACCAAAGCATTGGTGACTTTCTCATTCACCGTGTTTATGGCCTTCCCAAGGAAAGAGCCAGAGAAGAAAGAAAAAACAAAAACAAAAAACAAAAAAAAGAGAGGGCCTGGAGCATTTCCAGACACAATGGAGTCTCCTCAGTCTGAGGAGTTGAACTATAGCATATTACTATAGGTCGATGGTCGGGTAGACCTTCAAAAACCTCTTGGTATGAGAGGAAGGCTGCCAATAGTTGGCAGCAAGATTGCGCGGACTGGGTTGTCTGCACAAGTGGGAGTTAGGATCTCTACTTGATCTTATCTGCCAATTCTTGGTCCTCCTTCAGGTACGAGGAGGGCTGATTGGCCTTGTCGGCCAATCGTGCGTGATGCAGCCCAGTATTTCTACTGGGGAGAGGGCAGATTGTGGCTGCTAGCCAGCCGAGTATAAACTCCACCCAGAGCTCGTCTTCTTCTGGAGACTCTGGGGTGGTCCCCCCCAAAGGGTCCTCCTTCAGTGGGTCTCCCTCCGAGGTTTTTTTCTCAGGGGTGTCCCTCTTTGGTGTCATCACCAAAGAGTTGGTAGTTCTTTTTTTGGTCTGGCTTATCGCCAGTTTTAGTGTATTTTTTTCGTCATTGTTTTCAATGACGTTGGATCTTGGGGCCATTATTGTGGTCCCAACGCTAATGTCCTCGCCCTTTCTTCTGGGTGAGTAGTGAGGTCCCTTGTTTGGGTCCTCTGGTTCAAAGTCATTGGAGGTGTCCTCCACTTCGAAATCACCAGAGATATTCTCCGGTTCTTCTTCGTCGGAGCCATCTCCAACTTCACCTTCTGTTTTGTAGTCGACTTCCCTGGCGATCCTGTGCCTTGGGTTTCTGTCTCCTACTAACTGGTGCTCAGGGCAGCTCTTTGCCTACAATGGTATTCCGCAATTATTGTGTACTTGTACTGGCCTTTGGTTGGTGTTCCCTGACTGCTTCAGGGAGGATTCGCCTTTCCATTTGGGTTTAGGGTCTTGCACATTGGCTCTTGCCTCTGCGTGTTTCTCCTTTCCCGCCTGGTTGGGCTTTTCACGATTTGTGGTCGCGGTGGTTTCAGGTCTGGCATAGCATTCTGGCCTGTAGGCTGGAGCTATCCTCAGCCTGTTTTTCATCTCGTCCATGCGAGATGTTGTTCTGAACATCTCCTCGAAAGAGGAGAATCCCATTTTGATTATTTCCTCCTTGCATTCAGGGAGGATGTTTTCCAGAAACCTAGCATTAAGCAATGGTTCTGGGTAGGACTGTCTGGGTCCTTTTCCTGCATTGTACTTTACATTGCAGTATTTTTCCGTCACCTTCAATGTGGCGGGCTCCTTGATATATGTCCTCATTAGAGTATCGAGAACTTCAAGAAATTTCCCCCCTTTATCTCTAAGGAGGGCTTCTTCACGGAGTTTTAGTCCGTGTGAGAGTGCAGGCTCTGCCAATCCACCAATGAGACAATCCAGATGGATTTCATCGTAGTGTGCGCCTCTATATCCTTGTGATGTGAGGGATCCTAGCAGTGTGGTGTACCACTGCCAGAAAATTTCTGTATCATTTTTGCCTGACCACTTCGTGTCAGGGAGTCGAGTAGGACCATTATTTAACCAGTCCCACTTCACCCTGTCTATGTGCGGGGTGAAAGTTAGAAGTTCGGCCATCCATGTGGCCTTGTGGTACCATCTTTTGAGGTGCCTGTTATCCTCCAGCAATGTTTTGCTGGAAGTTTTCCTTGTGAAGTCCCCATGAGGGTTTGTTTGGTTCTCTCCAGCATTACTGGAGGGGTTTTGCGGAAGGTTACTTCCACTTATCCTTTGCCTGGGTGAAGTGACCGAGGAGGGCCATTTATCGCCTAAGATGGGGCCTGGTGTTGATGGTTGCCCGCTCATTTGTGGGTTCTCCTTACTAGGCTCCTTCTTCTGCCACATTGCACTCCTACAGACTTTGGTGACCTCATCCGAAGTTGGTGACTTCGCTTTTTTTGGCAAAAGTTTTGGGTTCAGCCTTGGCAGCAGTGGCTTCCCCTGAGCCTCTGTGCTCTCTGAGCATCTGCCCTTGACCTTTTCTCCTATTATTTTTTGGGCCTTTAGCCTGAGAAGGAGTTCATCACTTCCTGTCCTCCATTCAGATGGGACCTGGAAAAAGTCCAGAAGTTTCTTGGACAATCGACTTCGGGGAGCTTCCCCATCCTCCTGCACCTGGTCCCTTTGCTGTGTCCACGCTGGGTCCGAGGCCATCTGAGGACAGTCCGGAAGTGAGCTCAACCTGTGAGTCTGTGTCGATCTGGATGACATGGCCTTTATATCCATGTTGGAGTGTGTACACTCGTTCTCAGACAGAGCGCTGAGTGTCTCACAGTGGTTGTGAGATGGTGTCGGTGGTGTGGAAGTTTTTTTCACATTTCCTCCACTCAGGACTGGCTCCCTGCACAAGCGGGAGTTGTTGTTTGATTGTTTTGCACAATTCCCAGTCACATAGACTGGGGAGTGAACCAGCATGCTGCGATTTTGCGGGCTGGACGTCTCACAGTTAATGTGAGACGATGTGGACAATGTGGAAGTTTTTTCCACATTTTTTGCGATCACAAATGGCTCCCTGTGCTGGCAGGAGTTGTCGTTTGATCGATTTGCACAACTACCAGTCGCATAGACTGGGGAGTGAACTGGCTTGCTGCTATATCGCAAGCTGGGCATCTCGCGGCTGACGCGAGACGATTCCGTAGATGTGGACGATTTTTCCACATTTTTTGGAACTCCAAACGGCTCCCTGCGCCAGCAGGAATGGTCAGTTGGTTGTTTATGACAACTCCCAGTCGCATAGACTAGGGAGTGAACCAGATTGCTGCTATATTGCAATCTGGACGTCTTGCGTTTAATGCGAGACGATGCTGGACATGTGAAAGATTTTTCCACATTTTTTGGGATCAAAAACGGCTCCCTGTGCCAGTGGGAGTTATCGTTTGATGGTTTTGTGTAACTCCCAGTCAAATAGACTTGGGAGTGAACCGGCTTGCTGCAATCTTGCAAGCTGGATGTCATGCGGGTGACTCGAGACGATGTGGACAATTTTTCCACATTGCTTGGGGCCACAAATGGCCTCCTGCGCCAGCAGGAGTTACTGCTGTTGTTGTCAGTGTCTTGCACCAAGTGGGAGGTTCCCTGAGGATAGTGGGGCTCAGGGACTTCTTTTGGCGTGTCTGACCCAGCCCTTAAGGCTGTTAGTGTGGCAGCCGCGCGCTTATGTGTGCGCATGTTTGCCTCCTCACCCAGTGGTGAGAACTCTCTCTTTCTAGGAGAGATCATGTTGGCACATGGGGTTCTAAGGGTATTGTTCCCTGCATTTACCCCATGTAAGTTTTTGGGATCCTCAGGGTTTGTCCCTGAGGTCCTACCAATATGTGGCAGGTCTTCGTCATCATCCGATGACACAGTGTTTAGGTTATCTCCCAAATTGGGAGATCGCGGCTTTTTAACAAAGCTACCCTTTGTTCTCGCTGCAGATGCAAGCTTCCCTGTTTGGGGGTATGACGGTGCCATGTCAGGCACCGTCCCCGGAACAGATGCAAAAAGGATGTGTAGATTAGTTTTAATCACACCTCATGCACTTAAAAAAGTGTGAGGTCTGTGGGGCTCGCTCAGGTCACCAGGCCATAAGTGTCACAAAGGTGTGGGTATTACGGGGTGATAAGCGATAGGTTTCAACCCATCACCTGTCACGTGACACTAATCTACAACGGGACTACATGTAATGGGGGCCCAGGGCTTGTGCCCTGACACTTCTCCAGACTCTCTGGATTTTCGTCAGATAATCCTCCTGAGTCATCATCTCCTGAGTCATCTCCATTCTCACTCTTTTCTGATGGGGTCCCGTCAGCCTCCTCCTCTCCTAACCACTGTTTCCTTTCCAAATTATGCCATTTCTCAATTGTTTTCCATTTTCCCTCTTGTTCAGGCTTCCGTTCATGTATGATAGGCTCGTTGTTCTCGTGAAAATAAAACATTTTTACCCATTGGGCTGCTATGGGCTTGGACAATACTGTTCCATCCAACTCCGCTAAGACATACGCCCCAGATGGTCGGTTTTCTACCACGTAATATGGCCCAAACCATCTCAGCGCTCCTTTATTTCCTTGTTGATTATCTAGGAAATTCTTATATACTAATACCATAGTACTGGGTTTGTGTCACGGCCGTGCATTCCGGCCCGTTAGCCGCCCGTCCCGATGCCGCCCGAGCCCATTCCCGCTATGCGAGCGTGAGCGCGAGCCCCAACCTCAGCCCTATCCTCCCTGAGGACTCCCTGCTCACTTCCCCGCTTGCCCCTAGGCTCCCCTACACTTGGCCGACTCCCCCGCTGCTGCACCAACCTCCCCACCCTGAGTCCGCCTCCGGCACCATGCCCAGCGCGACTCCCCTACCCCGCCCACTTGGCCCCTACAGGGCCGCTATCATCCCCGCGCCCGACTCCGGCCCAACTCCGAGTCCAGCGCCGCTACGATACCATCGCCGCTATCGCGGCCCTACGCTCTTTCCTTTATTTATCTATTATTGTTTGTTTTGACCCTCGGTCATTGCCGGCCGCTATGCGGCCAACCCCGCTCCTTCTTCTTGTTTGCTTCCGGACCCTTCGGCCTCCGGCCCGGGTCCGCTTCCATTCATTTCTTCTTCCTATATATATCCTGTATGATACTTTATTGTACCTTAGCTCTAATATCGATGTGACCATGACCTCTAAGTCCTGACCCCAACAAGGCAACCCCAGTGAGTCCGAAATGAGGGCCAAGAGACAGCTAGGGGGCACAGCACTCCCTTTAGAGTTGCTGAGGCCAAATGCCCTACCCCCAGGCCTTGTTCACGGCATCACGGCCATCGCGACCTATAGCGGCCCACATCGGCGACCTTCGGTGCCGACCCTGGATCAGTGTCTAACAGTTTGATTGGATCTTTGTATTGCGGTTTTCCATATTTGTCCCAAATTGCTTGCGCATTTTTCCACTGTTGGGCTTCTAGATCCTTTGATGCCTGGTCTATATTGTCATCCCTTTCCTTCAATTGAGCCATTCTTAGTGCTAGTAGATCCATTGTAGATTCCACTTTATGCCAGTCCAATGTATGCCATGTTCTTTTGGAGATGTCAAAGGGGAATAGATGTTAGAAACGGGCGGATACAGACGACTCCGGAGTGGAATCGGAGACTTAGTGTTATAGGAATGGTGTCAGGAACGTGCCAGACGCGTATCCGGGTGACCCGCGAGGCGCGCGAAGTCATCTGGGCTCGTAAGGTCGGAGGGGCGGGACTTTAGCTTCAGCGACTCGGGTGGAGCGCTGCGCTTCGTTCTTACGTTGGTGTCCCAATTTCAGACAGGAGCCTTACGATGAGGATAAGAGCTTAGAGGGGAATCCAAGTCGATATACGAACTGAGGTACATCCGGTGTAACCTACACGCGTTATAAACACAAGTAACTAAATGAGAGCGGCCCGGAAGGAGTGGCGGATCAAGCGCGATATTAATGAATGAAGAAAGGAACAAATAATCAATATCGGCAAACTTGGTCAACAAAAGGAAAGCAAGAAACAAAAGGAAGAACAATAGTCCGCAAGCGGACAAAAGAGAAAGAACCATCCGGCCGTCTAGCAAGCCGTCCGGCTGGGGGCAGACAATAGTGAAGCGGGTAACCTAGATTGGTAGGCACGCGCGCGAGGGAGGAAGTGCGGATGAGGGTGATGGGTGGACGGATGGGTGAACGGATGATGATGATAGCGGGAGGGACGGGCCAAGTGGCACTAGGACGCGTAGCGGGAAGTGTCGGATATGTCGGGTCGTGACAAATGGACCTAGAATCTTATGGTCCGTGACTATGAACAATCAAACCCTTGGTCCCTGCACCTTTATTTCGCTGTCAAACCCCATGCCAAGTGTGACCTGGAGGGAACATCCAGGTGGCAGTGCCCAGTAAGCATGGGAACATTCTGGGCAAGCTGCTTGCTCAGAAAGTTCCCATGCTATCCCATGCATGTGGATACACAACACAGAAAGGCAACAACAAGGCAACAATGAAGGAATGGAAGGAAGGGATTGGTTGGGGAGTCTGGGGCACCCTAGGGCAGGGTGCTGAACCCTGACACGAGAGCCAGTAGACCACACAGGAGTCCTAAGATTCCTGGGAATGGTAGAATACCTGTTGATATTCATGCTGAATGTCAGTGGCTACACAGGGCCACTGCAAACAATCTGCTCAAAAAGCAGACATTCAGGTGGACACCACTCCACCAGAAATGCTTTGATGAGATTAAACATCTCACATGCAGGGCTCCGATCCTGAAGCCCATCCAGTGGAACCCACTGGAAAGCCTCTCAGAAGAAGAGAGGAGCAAACTCCACATCTGGGTCATAACAGACACATGCCCAGCAGGCATGGGCGCACTAATTGGACAAGGTGAAAAGTGGCAGACTTGCTGCCTGGCCACATTCATGTCCAAAAAGTTCACCAACACACAAGGTAGGTACTTCACCTATGAGCTCAAGGCACTCATGAGATGGCAAAATGATCTCATGGGAGGCTGTGAATTCACAGTAATCACAGACCACAAAGCTTTGGGATATTTCAAAGTGAAAAACCACAACTCAGGTAGACACCTGAGATGGCAAGCCTTCTTTGCAAGCTTTAATTGTGAAATAAAATATGTGGAAGGCCACAAGAACAAAGTGGCAGATGCACTTTCATGGTACTACGACTTGTCAACTGATGAGGATCTGCATTTTGATGACTACATGTTGGCAGATATCCATCTGGATAAAAATGCAGAAGATATTATCCCCAACAGAGTTGAGGAATATGAAGAACTGCTGCTAAGCAGTACTCTGAGTAAAAACTCAGAGAAAAAGAGACTTGCAGCAATATGTGTGAGAAATACCCTAGAGGAAGCTCTAGGGGGGAGCAATAACCTAGAGGAAACTCTAGGGGGGAGTGCCCAGAACCTGGAAGAAATCATAATTCCAGAAGAGAACCTTTGAAAACAATTTGAAGGAAAAGACCTCATTGAGGCAATAAAATCTGGATACTTGCAAAGCCAGATCCACCAGGAAATCCTAGAGAACCCGGGGAATTTCAAAAACTTCTCCATAAAAGATGGGCTGATAACCTGACTTGGAGAAGGAGGGACGACCCAAATAGTAGTCCCAAAAGGAAGCTATGAAAGGAAGTCCATTTGAGGAATAATATCCACAAAACACTTGGACACTTAGGATCCAAGAAAACAGTGGAAACCCTCCATCGATACTTCTGGTGGAAGTCAATGAGGAAGGACACCCACAAGATCTGCATGCCTTGCGGAACTTGTCAAACAACAAAGGAAAGCACCAGGAGAAATCCCGTACTGCTTCACCCACTCCCAACCCTGGAAACACCGTGGTCATCAATAGCCATGGACTTCACAGGTCCATTCCCAACAAGCTTGGGATATGATCACCTCTGGGTAATCATTTGTAGGTTGACGTCCAACGTCCACCTAATTCCAGTAAAGACAACAACGAACGCACTAGAACTAGCATTCGTATTTCTTCGTGAAGTTGTAAGACTCCACAGTCTACCACACTCGATCATATCAGATCAAGACTCGAAATTCACATCAAAATTTTGGCACGAACTACACCGAATACTCGGTGTGCAGTTGAAAGTCACAACTGCATTCCACCCGCAAGGCGACGGCCAAGCAGAAAGAATGATACAAAAAGTAGTACAGATACTATGTGTGATGGTCAGACCAGATCAACGTGACTGGGCAGCAAAGCTGTTGATGGCAGAATTTGCAATCAATGCAAGCTTGAACACATCAACAGGATTTGCCCCGTTCAAATTAATCTATGGCCACATGCCAAAGATGTGCCTAACAGCACCACCCTCAGACTACCTGGGAGTGAATGACTTCGCCCAAAAGGCGAAGGAAAACCTCATGGCAGCACATGATGCAATAATACACAATCGCACCGCTCAAACAATCCAGGCAAATAAGAAAAGATGCCTGGACCCGCCTTTGAGAAAAGGCAAGCTTGCATACTTGTCCACAGATAAGTTGAACCTACCCAAAGGGAGGGCAGGCAAACTAAAGCCCCTGTATATAGGGCCTTATGAAATTCTGGAAACATTTCCAGAGATGTCAAACTACGTCCTCAAGTTGCCATCACAACTTGAACAATGCGGAATCCACCCAAGATTCCACATATCCTGGCTTGCACCTCACAAGCCGAATGACCAAGAAATCTTCTCAAATAGGGAAGTAAACATATTTTACGATTTCGGGGAAGACCCCGATTGCAAAGCAGTAGTTCACAAAATCTTAAACCATGCATGGGTTCATGATGAACTCTGGTTTAAGGTTAAATGGGAGCTAGGGGACATCACATGGGAACCCCTAGGAAATTGCAACAACCTCGTCCACCTGGATGAGTACCTCACATTACAAAATGTGAGGGAACCAGAAAACCTCCCTATCAAAGAAGATAGGGAACTCTTGGCATCACTATGCCCCCAAAAAC